CAGTGAAACACATTCTCATTGAATGTACTGACCTAGCCCATATAAGAGAAACGCTTTATAGTGCAAGTAGCATGAAGGAACTGTTCCAAAAACTGACATGGATAACATAATATCGTTCCTGAAAGCAGTCAATTTGTACCAAAAAATCTAAAAACATAAAAAGTTGGGAGTTTTCTGCAAACTTTGCTGCAAGGAATGTTTTCAACAATATCTGATTCTTTCTGCATACCATTTCTCAAAAAAGGAAGAAACTTCCTTACAATTCTCTACAAAAAAATTTTTTTTGATAGAACCAGATTTTTCTACAAACCATTTCATTTCTAAAAACCTTTTTCAGCATGGCAAACCTCTCCGTTTGTGGAAATGGAAGGGACTATTATATTGGAAAATAATATTCCAATAATAACCTGATTTGACATTAAATGACTGAGGAGGTCGATATGTCGTAAAACACAAACAAACAAACAAACTTTTACGAGGGTAAGTTAAAAAAAATTATTTTTTAATCTTTTCCAATCATTCCAAGGGATCAAACTACAACAGGAATTGTCGATGTTCTCAAGTGCCACGTTTTTGAGATTTTGATTTCAAGGTCCTTGTATTTTGATATATATATATTTTTTTTTTTGAAATCTTCAAAGATAGATTGCAGTCTGCAAGGACTGCCATAACAATAAGACGGCATTTTTTTTTGTTTGCTGTCTCTAATAACAATGTCTGAGCGGTTAGCTTTGACCGTTCTGTGTGTATTGTAAAATCCCATAAAATTGTTACACGTACTATCTCCATAATCGAGTTTGGGTGGTATTCATAACAATTTCTTTCAGTTTTTGCTTCGAAAAAAGAGTAAGTACGGTCTTTCATTATTATTTTTATTTCCTTTGATTTCTGGTGTGTACACATTTCGTTCCGGGTCCCTCCCAGAGAAATGGCATCATGACATTTTACACACACACACAAAATTACATAGAAAACCCTTCGTAAGGTGTGGGCTGTACGAGCGAGAACATTTTTTTTTTTTTGTATTTTTTTAAAGCATGGGCTTCCGAGAATCCCTTCAATTTGTCTACTGCAATCTTTTCCAACCAATCCGAGGGCTCCAACTACAACAGGGATTGTTGATGCTCCCATGTGCCACATTTTTGAGATTTCGATTTCAAGGTCCTTGTATTTTGATAGCTTTTTGAAGATCTTCAAAGGTACAGGGAGTGACATATCAATGAGGAAGCACTTTTTTTGTTTGCGGTCTCTAATAACAATGTGTGGGCGGTTAGCTTTGATTGTTCTCTCTGTGTCTATTGTATAGTCCCATAAAATTGTAACAGGTCCTATTATCATTATTATTATTATTATTATTATTACAAGCCTCCTAAGACACAATCTTACAATTGCCGATGAGAATTAATAAAGTAATTATTTTGTAGACATGCGCACAAACATTCTTTTCTGTCCAGTGTTGGTGGGGTTTGTCGCTGACGTAAACTGGCCTGCATGGGCGAGAGTATTTTTTTTTTAAAAATGTTTTTACAGCTTGATTCAATTTATGCGTCTGGTTAATTAGGAAAATGATCAAAGGCGTTTGATAAGGTCGCTCGATTTGAAAATTGAGGCGCAAAAAAATTAAATAAAGGAAAAAAACAAAAACAAAAAACAAACAAATGAAAACAAACCCAAACCAGATATGGACTGATAATATTGTGCGAGTCTCACGTGCAAGTGTTTTATGCAACGACTCCTACAAATTGAAACGGAATGAGATAGACTGATCGATAGACAGATAAGGTAAGGCGATACGTGTAAAGTTAACACACAGAAAAAATGATATAACGACACACACACAGGGGTGGGATTTATGATTTATTTCACAAATCTCAAACGTCAAAACAATTAACTCATCATTCTGTCTCTGCATATATATATATATATATATATATTTAAGCGATTCTACATGTAGGAATTAAGGTGCCCAATATTAGGGATAGAGCGTATGTAAACATAAAAGTAGATCTTGGGGCCAGCAAGTGTGTGTCACCGCTGGTATTGACTTCAATGTTCACAGTTATATATATATATATATATATATATATATATATATATATATATATATATATATATATATTATTTATTCAAAATATGATTTCATCGTTACATAAGAGTTCCCATGTTTGAAACATGAGAACTCTTATGTAGCGATGGAATCATATTTTTAAATAAATAATTATATTTAGGCTCTACTTTTGTATCGAGCACTGTTTCTTTAAAAAATAATAACAAAAAATACTAAAGAACTTTGGATCATTTACCTAACGAGTTCTTTCCTATTTTCTATATATTTTCATATATATATATATATATATATATATATATATATATATATATATATATATATATATATATATAAACCTATATATGTATTATGTTTACGATAAAGAGTATCTGTGAATGAACGAAATGAATAAAAACCAAGTTAAGAATAGTTTTGTTCCTCTTAACTTATTACTCATATACATACATACATATATATATATATATATATATATATATATATATATATATATATATATATATATATATGCACCCTTGATACAAATAAATTGAAAAAACCGCTTTAGTTTGCTTTCTTTCACCGTACGGTCAGTTTTAGACCCACTGGAGTGAGAGGATGAAGTCGATTTCTATTTTTTACTCCGATTAGGTCATTTGAAGTGCTGTGCAGTAATATGCATTTATATTCGGGGTGTATGATGAAATTTGTTTGGCCTTGAAAAATATTGCGTCATCCGTGATTGCATCAGATTTTTAGCACGCCCAGACACTATTGTCTCGACTGTCGATTAGTTGTCCAACGGCCATTGTCTGCGACGGACATTACTCCAAGGAGGCGTACGAAAATTGTAACGCTGCACAAACACACTGGCAAGCCTTACCAGTGACAAATTCAAAGTACTATCGACTGGTTCAGAAACTCTCCTGATTTAAATCCAATCGAGAATATGTGGTCAATCTGCAAGGAAAGACTCCGAGGAATGGACATGGACATATATATATATATATATATATATATATATATATATATATATATATATATATATATAATAAACATAAACGTTTCTTTGAGTTTTCGTATAAAGTGAAAGTGACATCAGTCTGAAGGCAGCCATCACACCAAATAAAACCCAATTTGTAACGAAGAAAAAGAATGAAAAAAAATGCAGTTTAACCTTGAAGCGTTTCATTTAACTAATTGTTCACACAATACAAGGCCCATGAGCCGCTCAAGATAAAGTGTTACTGATAGAAGTTGTTGCAAGTAATAGAAGCAGGTGAAAAGTAAGGAGATTATAGTCATAAGGGGAGCATCCTCTCGGGAGTTTTTTTAATCGAATTCACCCCAAGCAACGCAGTAAAATCACTAAGACGCAAGGTGTTACTGGGTGTAGAAGAATTAGAAAACAGAAACATTATTACGGATCTAGAACGTTAGAAAAGTAATCAAAAAGACGGTAGATAACGATTGACATTGCCTTTAAAGTTTTGAAGATCAATGTTAGCTGGAAAGCATGGCGCTGGAAGAGAGTTCAAAGGGCAAAAAATACGTGAAAGGAAACTGTTGGTATAGAACTTATGGTTTCAACTGTGAATTGTCGAAACCTTGTTGCTAATCAAGTACTGTGCTTAAATTCATAGAGTCTAGTTACCATAAGGAAGAGCATTTATATATACAGTGTAACCCGGATATAAGAGACCCGGATATAAGAGAAACCCGGATATAAGAGAGATTTTCTCTGGTCCCAAATTAGAGCCCATACTTACCTAAACAATATAGACCGAACCCGGATATAAGAGAAACTCGGATATAAGAGACTTCTTCTCCGGACCCGACAACTCTCTTATATCCGGGTTACACTGTATTTACATGGCCAGAATGGGGAACGAGGAAAAGGACGGTCTTCTTCTGTCTTAACATTGAACTTAGTGTTATAGCATACCTACCTACGATAATGGGTATGTCCCCATTCACATAAATACAATAGTAAATACTGTATGTTACTCTAGAGTTGGAGATCCGTCTCCTGCTGTGCTGGTCAAAGTTTCTGCCTCCAGGCAGAAAGGATCCCCAAACGCGGCGATGTCGAAGGGCAAAGTCTTGTCTTGGGAAACAGCTATTCGACCTCGTTTTATACGGAGTCTAAGGGGAATTTTTGGCCAAGCCTACGGGCTCGGATAAACCACATTAAATTCGGCTTTGTACCGCATCTGACCGCGTGGGGCAGTTGATAGATATCCTAGAGTTGGGGATTCATTGTGGAATTCCCTTGACTTAATTCTAGCAGTTGACTACTTCTTCTACGAGCCGCTGGCGAATCTTATATGTGTTGTTCTTGTCCAAAGTATTATCGTTCATTATCAACCTTCGTTTGATTATTGTATTCAGTAACCTTCTCTAAGTTACAACACTTAGCTAGCCACAAACACTGACCCAAA